CCACCATGTAGAAATACTTTTAAAAAGATTATTTTATAAGATTCTTAAAATAGTCTTCACAGGTAGACTTAACATTGTCTCTTCAAATTTAAATAGCTGAGCCTCCATCTTGAAATTATCAGATAAAATTAACATGATGTACAGATTAGCAGATGGAACCATATAATTTAATGATGTTGGAACTCTCACTTAAAGACTATTTAATTGATTGACAAAATGTGTTAGAAACAATGTACTTGGTACTTCGGTGAACTTTAAAAAAAATAAACATATTATGGTATAATGGGGAAAAAAAGCCACTCACTATAGAATCAATGGACCTGAGTTAAAATCCTTCTCCTGTTTATCTGAGTGATCTTGGGCACATGATTTAACTTTCCTTCACTTCAGTTTTCTCATCCATTTAATGTGTGTGTGTGTGTGTGTGTGTGTGTGTGTGTGTGTGTGTGAGAAAATTATATGCTTCTGGAATGTTTTTCAGCTCTCTACCTATGATCCAATTACTATATCCAGAGTTACATAATAGATTTGGGACTACAGACCTTCCCAAAAATAATGCCCATACTGTACTTGGTGAGTGCAATTAGTGCTTCACAAACACCTTATGAAAGTAAATTAATTTTGGCTCTTTCATGAATAGATTTAGTCAAAACACAGCCCAACAAAAGGTTCATGCTTCACTTTGGATTGATTATTTAGACTTCTGCATTGAAATACTCATTTTTTTCCAAATGAATTCAGAATAAGAAATAGTATAGTAAATTATCTGATTGACAAATATTTCTCCTCAGGCCCTCCATTCTTTTTGGTAATGTATATTATCCCATTTGCTACTTTAGCATATCTACAGGCAATACATAATCTGCAAAATTAGTGTTATCCAATATTTACATAATTAATAAAAGTATTAGCTCACACACAAAATCTATCAATCGTATACTCAGTCTGAACTTTTAAAATTACAACTATTGAAACAAACAAAATCTGTAAGCATCCTCAGACTTTCAGATAAATGAGACTTCCTTAAAAAAAAAGTCATAAAAGCCTTCATATTGTGTTCTTATAAATCACGCTACAACATATTTTTTCTTCAACATTAAAAGTCATCTCCCTTACATTTCCTGACAAGAATCTACGCATTGTTATTGGGTCACTGTGAGCAACAAACCAATAAACTATTACTGCAGTTAAAAACTCAATAATCCCTGCCTTAAAAGTTATTTTTTTTGTAATTATGCTAGCCTAATCATTCATGTGGATTAGGTTTTGGATGATGCAAGTAAAAAAAGGAAGGAAATACATACTCTCTCCCTCCTTTGGCCCCTACCCTTGGAATTTGAATATCACTGGCCAAGTCCACAAACTCCTTACTTCTTTCTACCTGAGTGTTCCCATTCTCTAGTCACTAACCTTGAATCTACCATTTCAGAGAATTTTTCCTGAATAGGAATGGTGCATGGAGGTAACAATCTGGGGGAATATAACCTAACAACTTTTCCAAAAAGAAATGTTTACTTGGGTGACTTTAGCCTGATGGAAAGTGAAAACTTTAAATATTCCACCTTGGAAATCTTAACTGATATTAATAAACTAACAAACAAACAAATATATAAACATTCAAATCCACCTTCATTTGGATCAAGTCCCTAGCCAGGAGAAAGTCTAGCACTTTGGAAAAAAAAAATTTAAACCTCTTTCCTTTTGTTTCTTTCTCTTTTAATCTAATACATACTATAATATATAGGGGAAAAGAAAAGGAAGAATAGTGAAAGAAATGTGTCCCCCCCCCAGCTCACCAGCCCATTCATATTTATAAAAACTGGAAAGCTCAGGAATTAGGACCCCCTCTTCTTCCAAGTCCGGTGTCTCTCTCCTCCAGCATTTAATATTGCTTCATGAGTCACTGGCAGTTATCAATAACTGGCTACTTAAGCCTTGGGACACAGTAGCTGTGGCTGCCACAGATATAGCCCCAACTATTTTGATCTACTTATAGAAAGCTAAAATCAAAAACCAGTGATAGGAATTGATCTTCTTTCATACACATGGCGATTATATCCAATTTTCAATGCCAAAAAATGGTAGAAAGCTTACTTAGGCCTTGCAGTATCTTGCCCATGTTACTTTCTATTCCAGAGCATAAGTAGTGCCATACCATTTCTCTTTTTTGTTTATGTCAGACAGAATCAGGGCAGTATTGATTCCTTGTGTCTCACAAACTCTATTTTATCTAATTCCTTCTGTGGAAAATTCTATGGATCTTAGTTCCTTCAGAGACGAAAGAGCAGAATTGAACCCCAAGTAACCCAAATAAGCTAATATTATCTTCATGTTGTCCTGTTAGATTTTTTCAAAATGAGCAATGTAAAATGAGATGACTGAGTGTCATACCAAATGTTGCTACTTGTTGCCTTTGTATACGTGATGAAATTAATTCCAGTAGGATATAAGTTCTCTGAGGGACTAACACCTATTGCAGGGCCTTGCATATAGTAAGAACATAATAAATATTTATTGAATTGTTTTGGAATTAATTAAATTAATTCCTAGAGGCATAACCTCTTGGCCATTTTTGTACTTACTCAATTTGTTTAAACTTTGGATTCAGTTACTGCAGCATTGTAGATATGCCTGAAATTCAGTTGTTCCAGTGTATCAGTTCCTTGACATTTAGAGAATGATTGCTCATATATCTTATCAACAGTTGAATTAATGTCTTTGAGATGGTCTAAAAATGTTGCAATTCTTAGTACCCTATATAGTTTTTCCTCATGACTTCTTCACTATCACTACAGAAAAAGGAACCAGCTTCAGAAATTGAAAGAAAATTGGGGCTGCTAGGTGGCACAGCAGATAGAGCTCCCACTTTGGAGTCAGAAGACCTGAGTTCAAATCCAGCCTCAGACACATGACACTTACTAGCTGTGTTATCTTGGGCAAGTCACTTAACCCTGATTGCCTCACCAAAAAGCATTAAAAAAAAAATTAAACATTAAGAGAAATACTGGATTCACAGTGTATCGTGTCTGAGAAATGAAACACCTGTGGAATAGACTTACAGTGAGGTGTTTCTCTAGTCTCAAAAAACAGAAATCATTCTATCACTGGGCCTATACCTGAACCCTGCTCTAAATTGTTAGACCTTAACAAACCTTTCATCTTGACATACTTTTCAGAAACCCAGAGCTTCACCCAAATTGCAAAGCTACTTTGAGATAAGATTATATTTACATTTTTAATATACTGCATACTAGTCTCCTTAGAAGCCATAAGCCCTTGTAGACTTTGCAAAAAAAGAAAATAAAAATGAATCTCCCAAATTAAATTAATTCAGTTATGGCTATACAGCAGTGTATTCTGTATCTTTCTAACCACAAGGTAGTTTCAATAATTGTTTTATATTTGATATTTTCTCAAAAATGTCATGCTACCAAAATACTAAGGAATTCAGTAGTAGCCAGTTTGATTTGGTAATCAAAAGAATATGAATTGATATTTATTTTCCTCTGATATCCTCATTCTATTGTGCTAAACCCACACAAGTTTCTCAAATGAAAAATAAAATGATTCACATTATATATGAGTCTAGATCCTAAATACAATTATATTTATTAAGTGGGCTAAAAATTCCTCCCTCCCTCTCTTCCTCACTTCTATAACCATCATTGAGAGTAGAAATTTTTCTTGTTTTACTCATGATTTTCACTGTTTTGCAGAAACAACGTTTAAATTGTGCTTTGCTATCCAGTCTTCATACCCATTAATGTTGTTGCTGTCATTGTTGCTTTTTAAATTTTATTTGGTTTCCTATAATTACTGTTGGCATATGCTGCTGAAATCACTGCTGAATTTAACAAAGGACTCCTTAATATGCAAGAAAATCTTTCACGCTATAGGTACAGAATAGTATTTGAAATAAATAAATCCACTAGTTACATTTGCAAATAAGTCATGGGAATTTATCTGAAATACTCTTTTTAAATATCAATTTATTTATTTTTAGTTTGAAATATTTACTTTCATAAGATTTTGAGTTCCAAATATTCACCCCATCTCAACCCTCCCCCCACCCCAAGATGGCACACATTCTGAATATCCCTTCCTCTAGTATGTCCTCTCTTCCATCTCTCCCCCCTTCTCTTATCCCCTTCCCCTTCTATTTTCCTGTAGGGCAGGACAGACTTCTTTACCCCATTTCCTGTATTTCTTATTTCCCAGTAGCATATGAAAACATTCTTTTAAACATATGTTTTTAAAACTTTACGTTTCAAATTTACTCCCTTCCTCCCTCCCCACCCACACTCATTGAAAAGGCAAGCAACTCAATATAGGTTATACAAGCGCAGTAATGCAAAACACTTCCATAGTAGACATGTTGTAAAAAACTAACTCTATTTCCCTTAATCCTACCCTGCCCCCATTTATTCTTTTCTTCCTTTTGACCCTGTCCCTCCTCAGAAGTATTTACTTCTGATTACTCCCTTTCCCAGTCTGCCCTTCTCACTATCATCCCTCCTCTCTTGTCCCCTTCTCCCCCTATTTTCCTGTAGGGTAAAACAGATTTCCATACCCAACTGAATGTGTATGTTATTCCCTCCATAAACCAAATCCTATGAGAATAAGATTCACTCCTTCCGTCTCACCTTCCCCTGTTTCTCCTCCAGCGTAACAGACTTTTCTGGTTTTTTTTTGTGAGATAATTTACCCCATTCTACCTCTCCCTTTCTTCTTCTCTGAGTATAATCCTCTCTCATCCCTTAATTTTATTCTCCAGATATGACCCCCTAATCTTCAACTCACCCTGTGCCATCTATCTATCTATCTATCTATCTATCTATCTATCTATCTATCTATCTATCTATCATCTATCTAGCTATATATACATACACACATATAATTTTCCCCTCCAATTACCCTAATACTGACAAAGGTCTCATGAGTTATAAATATCATCTTTCAATGAAGGAATGTAAACAGTTCAACCGTAATAAGTCTCTTACCTGTTTACCCCCTTCATGTTCCACTTGAGTCTTGTATTTGAAAGTCAAATTTTTTATTCAGCTCGGTTCTTTTCATCAAGAATGCTTGAAAGTTCTCTATTTCGGAGGGAGCGGGAGGCGGCGGCGGCTGTGGCAGTTGGAACCCCGCCCCAGCCCCGCCCCGCCCCGGCCCCGACCCCGGGGGATGCCCCCGGCAGGCGCGCCCTCATGGCCGCCGACGTCTTCGTGTGCTTGCCCCGCCGGCGTGGCGGCGGGGCCCGCCCGGTGCTGCTCAAAGCGCCGGCTCCCGACGACGACGACGACAACGACGACGACTCGAACACGGACGAGCCCGCGGCCGCCGCGGCGGCCCGGCCCGGCCCTGCCGCCGCCCCCGCCGCCGGCGGACCTGACAAGGACGAGGACGATGAGGCGGAGGACTAGGAGGCGGCGGCCGAGGAGCCCGGGGGCCGGCGGTGGGGCCGGCAGCAGATCATCCACAGCGGCCACTTCATGGTGTAGTCTCCGCACCGCGAGCACCCGCCCAAGAAGGGCTACGACTTCGACACGGTCAACAAGCAGACGTGCCAGACGTACAGCTTCGGCAAGACCAGCTCGTGCCACCTGTCCATCGACGCGTCCCTCACCAAGCTGTTCGAGTGCATGACCCTGGCCTACAGGGAGCCGTTGGAGATTGTTGAGGAGAGCAGTGACACTGTCAGACCTGCCCTTTAGGAAGATGGCAGCTGAACTGAAGATGGCAGTGATACTTCACACTGCCTTAGCACTCTGCTTACTGAGGGCTTTCCTTGCAGTACTCTTTGAGGTAGGTGGTATAGGTGTGATAGGTGAGCTCTGGGCCTGTAGTAAATGGCCTCCTCAGAGGGCTGAAGTGGTTTTCCCATGGTCACACAGCTAGCTGACAACTCTCCAAGCCAGGCCTTTTGGCTACCAGTCCGCTGCTCTTTTCCATTTACCTGTGTGGGGCCAGCAACTGGTGCTCCCTGGGCCTCTGCCAGATGAAGGTGTTGGACCAGATCGTCGTGCTGCCTCTGATCTCAGAAACCAGCCTCCATCGTTTTTGTCCAGAGGAGCAAACTGAGAGGGAGAGAGGCTTGCTCAAGGGCAAGTTGGCCTTCTTACTTGCCATGTTCTAAGCCTTGGGTAAGTAGTGGCATGAGGACCAGACTCCAGCTCCTCAGATTCCTTGGCCATAGGGTTCCCCACTGGGATTTTGACTTCTGCTCCACTCACTTTGGAGACACCCAAGGCATTTAGGGACCTTTTAGCCCAGCAGTCATTTCCAGATATTATCATCCTCCCTTGTATCAAAAACAACAGTTAAATCAAAGAGACCAGTTGGGTCTCAGAGTGTTATGTGCAGCCATTGCCTCTCCCCTTTTTACCAGAAGGAAGTAAATGCATTTCCTCTTCTCTTTTCCAGGATCAAGAATGGCCATTGCAATTTCTTGGTGTTTTGGCCTTGTTATAGTGATTGACATTGACTTTATTTGTACTAAAGTGAGCCCAGTAGAAAAGAGAGAAGTGTGGGTACAACCTTACATTTGTTTATATACACCTCAGTTTTCTTAACTAGAGAATAAATTCAGCCTTTATATGGACTTGAAGGGCAGTGTAACTGTTATCCTTATTTTAGTGGCAAGCATAATTTAAAAATATTTTCCTGTAGATGATGCACCAGTGTTTTATTTCAAGAAAAGGGCTTTGCCACTGGAAAAAGTGTGAGAAGTGCTTGGCTCAAGGCTTATTATTAAACAAACAGCCCAGGAAAGAACATTTCATAAATCGCATCCCCCTTCCCCCAACCCTGCATTTATTTCAGGATTTTTTTTTCTTTCTGAAGAAACTGAGCATTACTTTTGAAGTAAGTGAGGAGCCTTAAGGTGACTTCTTTCTTACTTGTCAGTTTCTGTAGTTTGCTAGTGGGTATATTTATCTTGCCTGTTAAAGACACTCAGCTCAGTTGATTCTGTCTCTGTTTTGCCTTTGCCGGGTTTTACAGCTGCAGATCCCCCTCATTGTTTCCTTGTGTAAGGCTGGCAGTGGGATGCACTTCCTTTAACTGGCAGTGAGGCCCTTAACTGCATGCAGAAGCTGACAGGAGTGACCCAAAGACAGTTGGCTTGGCTGTGACGTCTGGCAGAGAAGTGAGTAACATGGCAGGTTCCTGACCTTAGCTCTTCCATGGCAGAGCTGGCTTCCTGAGAAGGAGGGCCAACATGGCTAGTGAGGAAGAGACTGGGCTCCAACAAGAGAATGAAGTGAACCCTTCTTGTTAGAAAAACAGTTCCACTGGGATTTGAACCCTCATGATTACTTCAAATTGACGATCTCTTTTCTTCTTCCAGGATTTAGGACTCTTGTCAATACTGTGAGAGAGAGAGAGAGAGAGAGAGAGAGAGAGAGAGAGAGAGAGAGAGAGAGCGAGCAAGCAAGCTGATTATGAGGAGGGCCAGCTGGTTCTTCTGTGCACTAATGTTCCTAGCCTATGTTGTTCTGTCTACCTTTAGCTTCCGGTCCCTTGACCTCATTGTTCCCACTCTCCCCCAATCCCCACCCCCAAATTGGTACACTCTGTGGTTTTTGGGCTTGATTTCCTGTTAACTGCTGCTGTTTCTAGATGAGGTTCCAGTGTTTATTTGGGGAGGAACAAATTGTAGGGGAATGTTGGCTTTCTGAAAAGTGTTTTTAGCATACTAGATTTTGTCCATTTGTGACAAGGCAGTCTCTGCTCCCTGCCTAGTACTGATTTCTTAAACCTTGATAGGTGAAGTCTGAAGAGTATATGTGGGTGTGACTTAGCAGTCACCAAAAGGAAATAGGAAGGAGCAATATCTTCTATTTTATTGTTCAGTGGAATCTTCCTTTTCCTTACCCCAGGGAAGAGATGAACTATCTGGTTAGGAGCTCCCTTAAGTAAACCAAGCTGGACTCAGCTGTAAGAAGGAAGAAGAGAAAAAAAAAAGGAGCCAGTGGCAAGTGGAGCAAATGTCTGCTTCTCTGGTTCTTGAATCCAAAGTAGCCCCTAAGCTAATCAGTTTCTTTCTCTACTTCCCAAGGTCCCCTACATCCCTTTCCCCAACTTATTTTCGTGTTCCATTCTGAATGCTAAGCGTAGAAATAACCTTGTGATGGTTACATTGGTGAGTGAGACAGGGAATTAAAACAGCAGAAAATAATTGGCTTAATCTGAATTCCTGTAGTTGGACAATTGGAACAGAAAAGGAGTTTCTTCATTTTGAGGAAGGTGGTTATCTCAGGTTGGAACCCCACCATCACTGACTAGCTGTGGAAACCTTGGTCTGTTAATTTTTCATATACCTGCATTTTCCATCTACAAATGGGGGCAAATGATACTTGTCTCAGTAAGACTTTTCAACATGATGTGGTGATAAGAAGCTAGATATGTTAGCCCACAGGGTCTGATACCAACTTGTCTGCAAAGTAGCAAGCCACTTCAGCTTCTGTTAAAAAGTTCTGCAGTCCTATATTTTAGATAAGACTGGTCTAAAAGATGTCAAACAGAATCATTTTTGGGTGGGGACAGGGTCAACATTTATAGAATTTCAATGGTAGTTCTGCTAGAAAACATTAATCATCGTTGCTTCTTGCCTTCTTTACATGTGAGCAATGCTGTGTTTGTCACCCATAAAAATTTCCAGTAAAAACATATATAATTAAAAAAAAAAAAGAAACTTCTCTATTTCACTGAAGGATTTTTTCCCCTAAAGGATTATACTCACTTTTTCTGGGTAGGTGATACTTGGTTGTAATCTAAAGTCCTTTGCCCTTCTGAATATTATATCCCATGCCCTCTGGTCCTTCAATGTTGAAGCTGCTAAATCTTGTGTTATCCTGATTGTATTTCCACAGTACTTGAATTGTTTCTTTCTGGCAGCTTGTAATATTTTCTCCTTGACCTGGGAACTCTGGAATTTGGCTACAATATTCCTGGGAGTTTTCCTTTGGGGATCACTTTTAGGAGGAGATTGTTGGATTCTTTCAATTTCTGTTTTGCCTTCTGGTTCTAATGTATCAGGGCAGGTTTTCTTGATAATTTCTTGAAAGATGATATCTATGCTTTTTTTTTGATCATGGCTTTCAGAGAGTCCAATAATTTTTAAATTCTCTCTCCTGGATCTATTTTCCAGGTCAGTTGTTTTTCCAATGAGATATTTCACATTGTTTTCTAATTTTTTATTCTTTTGGATTTGTTTTACAGTGTCTTGATTTCTCATAAAGTCACTAGCTTCCAATTGCACTTTTCTAATTTTTAAGGAAGTATTTTCTTCATTAATCTTTTGGACTTCCTTTTCCATTTGGCCAATTTTTCTTTTTAGGGCATTTTTCTCCTCATTGGCTTTTTGGACCTCTTTTGCCATTTGGGTTAGGCTATTTTTTAAGGTGTTATTTTCTTCAGTATTTTTGTGTGTGTTCTTCAGTAAGCTGTTGACTTGTTTTTCATGATTTTCTTGCATCACTCTCATTTCTAATCCCAGTTTTTCCTCTACTTCCCCTTACTTCTCAAAATCCCTTTTGAGCCCTTACAAGGCTTTGGACTGATTCATATTTTTCTTGGAGGGCTTTGGATGTAGGAGCTTTGACTTTGTTGTCTTCTTCTGGTTGTATATTTTGATCTTCTTTTTCACCAAAGTAAGATAATATAGTCTGACTCTTTTTGAAAGGTTTGCTCATGATCCCGGCTTCCAGTGTGTAGAGTGTACTACACCAAGCTTCGGGGGTTTGTACAGTTTTTTTCAGAGATACTTCTAGGGACCTGTAAATTTTCAGTTCTTCCAAGGTGGTATGATAAGGGGCGAGGTGTTTATTCCTTTCCTGGTCTGTGACCACAAGTACTCCTTTCTCTTCTGTAACTTTGAGGAGGGTTTCCTCTCTACAGCTACTACAAGCTCCACCATGCCAGTGCTCCTCCTCACCCCAGGACTACCACCCAGAACTGTGACCCAGATACAAGCACAGGCAAAGCAAGAGATTCCTGCTTCTGCACTGGCAAAGAGATCCCTGCAATCCCTG